CAAACGACTTCATATTCTTAAGAAAAAGGATCTCTACAATATTGCATCTAGCTTCAACTTATGTCCAAATACACCAAGATGTTCCAATGATATAATGAGCTTGGATTCTTGGATATGGGATATGCAACAAAAAACTGATTCAGTTTTGTTTTATAAGCCAGAAGGAACTACAGTAGAAGATTTGGAGGAAATAAGAGAAGAAGATTTTGTCTTAATACTGATGTCAGAATTTCAAAGCAAAATACTGCAAACTCATAGGGAAGGCTACATGTGTATTGACCAGACTCGTGGAACGGCTGGTTACAATTACCATTTAGTAAGCCTGCTAGTTGTAGATGAAGCTGGGCATGGACATCCATGTGGTTTCTTGATTTCAAATAGAAGTGATAAAGGGATTATAAGCATATTCTTCAAATTCATTAAAGATAGAATTGGTACTACAGTGAGTCCAAAAGTACTCATTACTGATACGGATGATGTCTTTTTTGAAGCATGGTCAGCTATCCTGACACCACCAAAACTGAGGTAATAATAAAAACACACACCACATTTGTTAATTCAGTCTTAAAACTGATACACATTTTAAATTTGTAATATTAGTCTAATCATATTAGCAAATTTCCCTTAAATAATTGTAAAGTCTGGTTTTATTGATGAAAGTTGTTCAAGGGGATATTTAAAACATGGATTCATAAAATGAATACACCAATTTACAAAAATTGGAAAACTTTTTATTCGACGACAAAGAATGAGAAAATACGAAATGTTTGAATTTGTTTAGGAGAAAAAAGAGAATCTTCGTTTTTCACATAAAAATTACAATTATCTTTCGGAATAGCTTGCAATTCATGTTGGGAAGGTAAACTCGTGAATTTTGCTATAAAATGCCCTTTGAACAAACCCTGTATATTGCTCAATAAACTAGTAGTGATGGCTGGAAGACAGGTGTTTTGGGATAAAGAATTAGAAATTCTCTCAAAAACTACTTGATCAATCGGCTCCAATTTTGTTGTGGCTATTTATAAGTAAGAGGCCTTAGGATTTGAGGAATTTCAAGTAGCTGCGTGAAATTATCGTCGCATTAGCAACAAGTGCCAAAATCTGTATTTTGCCTCGGTTTTCGGTCATAACTTTTTTATGTAGGTTGCATAAATAACTATGAATCTTATTCTAAGATTTTTTTCATTCCTGCCAACACTTTCGATTGAGTCCCAAAAACAAATTTTCTCATTCTTTGTTCTCAAATAAAAAGTTTTTCTACAAAAATTGGTGTACCCATTTTATGCGTCCATGTTTTAAATACCCCCTTGAACAACTTGTATCAATAAAACCAGTCTTTACAATTATTTCGCAAACCAGGTGTATTTTCGTCTAATATGATTAGACTATATAGTGTATTAAGCAGTTGAGCTATGGTATGTGGCATACTTTGGTTGAATACTGAAATCTGGTATTTGAATATGAATCCTGAATCCTGTATTTTAAATTGTATTGATTTCTCAAGATTCGGGTACAAAGGAAAAAAGTATTTGAATACCTGGATTTTTTTAAGTATGAATACTTTTTGATTATTCGAACTAAAAAACATATGCATACTTTAAACTTGATTTTTATTTATGTATTTCAGTTATAAAAATATAAAGAAAATAAAAAATACATGACTATATTAAATAAGACTTGAAATAACATTTCGATACACAGTGTCAAAGAGAGGTTAGACAAATTAATTGTATTAATAAAAAACGTGAATTGATTTTTATTAGATTTGTACAGAAAGTTGATAAAATTAAAGTTATCAAGAAAATATATGAATCTGACACAATGTACCTAGATAATTAAAAAATAAACTTATCCTTCTATATATCCACTTTATCTGGTATGACACACAAATTATAACTGGTATTAAAATCTATTATAAAATGGAATAGCAGTACTGCATAAAGCATAATGCAATATTGATAAGAATAGACTAACAGGATTTTAATTCAGGATTCGAATGCCAGGATTTGAATACAAAGTGGGTATTTGTATATAGGGATTTAGAAATGGCTTTTAGAATAAAAAATACCTAGTACTGACCAAAAAACTATTCAGTCAAATACCAAACACACAAATCTGCTTGGATACCAGCCAAATGTATGCTGAATAGGATCCAAATCATTGAGTATTTAAATAATAAATACTACCCAAGTCTGGTATATAGTAATAATTTGTCTACTTATGCTCATACATATATGTATAGTGCTGTGTGAGTCTGTAATAGCTAGTACAGATTCACTTGAGTCAATTCAATTAGATTTTTCGCAAATATGAGATAGCTCACCGTATAGTTTATATTTATTACAGATTGTTTCAGAAAAACGTTGCAATTTTTTTTAGGGCGTAAAGTCGATCAAAAAGGCATGAAAAGTCTGTTTTGAAACGTCTTTGGCATTTTCAATAAGGTATTCAATTTTAAATGAATCACATTTATTGAAACATCTTTGTCAGGCTACTCCTTTTGCAGAAAAATTGGCTTGAATATTTGAGGCAAAATCTGTTTAAAAAACTTCAAGCCGTTCTACTTTGGAAGTACGCTGAAGTTGCTAAAATTTGACGAACGCCGCGACATCTTCCGTGCATACCGCAGAACGTCGAGCAGTTATTAGCCAGAATATGGAATGAGGATGATAATCAGCTGGGCAAACCATTGGTAGATGGCAGACGGTTGTATGAAGTGTATTCAGAGACTAATACTAGCTCACCACTGCATTATTTGAACAAAGTTCAGGTTTTGCCCTTATTCAGCCTCATCAGCGGCATAGACATTACAACATCCTTTACCTCTGTGAGCAGACATACATATGTAACCTAGAAGTATTGCCACGTTTTTCTGAAACACTGTAGATTAATTACTCAACATTAGTGTTCAACTAATTTCAATTTTCAGACTATTCAGCATATGGAAAGTAGATCAGGACTGGCGGGACAAATTAAGAGAAACTGTTAAAACAATAAAGGAAAAACAGGTATGGTTGAGGGAACGAGTTCTATCAGATTATTTGTTTGTTTGTCGCCAAACTTGCGTAGTTTTAGTGCATACTTTTGACTCCCATAAAAGCCTACTAAAGTGACAGGATTATATTAACATAGTAATAATAATACCTACCGGAGGAAACATCTACATTCATTAGTCTCGTGTTGTTCTTTGTACATTATGTAAGAAGTACCATGTCTTGAAATGATCTAACACTACAATTATCTGCAAACACTCCACTTTTAAAAAATAACATTAGATATACGAGTTTGATGACGGAACTGTAGAAAAATTAACATGACACTTTGATCCCCACTGCGGACTGTTGGAATTAAGAAACGTAGATGATAACACTTTACCCTCTATGAAAAATAAGCGATAAGTGAAAAATGAAATTAGAAAAAATCTTCATTCACAATATTCACGTGCTTAACAAAATTTTTTGACTGCATCCTAATGTGATCAGAAAGGTGAATATGGTCGAAAGACGAATTTCGTGTTTTTTTTTTAAATAGCCCTCCAAAAATGTTCCTTATTTCACGCAAAAATTAGTGTCAAGTAGGTTGATCCTGCACTTCCTACACAACACTTTCATAAAGAATCATTTTCGGCACAAATTAGTCCCTCTTGGCTACGAACCTGTATAACAAACGAATTAAATGGATCATGTCAATCAAACAGGCTCATACAATTAGTCCATAGTCTCCACTGATTTAACAACATTGCGATCAAGAGTACCGCCAACGTGGCAACTCAGCACGAGATTGCACACAGGTACAAGAATACATGCATGCATCGCCATAGTTAGAGTTGTCCAGTAAGCGTGTATCGAAAACATATCGCTGTTATTCCAGATTTAAGAGCAAATGATTAACATATACTCACCTCCACCCTCTACAACTCTAAACATCCATTTAAAAATTCCCCTGGAAATGATCAGGATCATTTGGATCGTGAAAAAACAAAATAGGCCTTTTTTTTAATTTTTGGCCTTTTTCTGCGACGGCAATAGGCCGATTTTCGAAAACTTCAAAGCTTTTTCCGAGCTATACTTGCCAAGTTATATACGGGCCAAAGATTAGCTGTCCAACAGACCGACAGAAATGGTTTTTCATGAACAAGATGTCATCTACAAAGGGTGCTATAAAAGTTTTACAATAGAGCTTTATTTATTGACTTCGTTCAAAGTAATTTCTACCACATTCAATACACTTCTCCATCCGTCAGAATCAGTCCTCAGACCAACTCTGCTAAGTTTCACCAGGGGAGAAGCAAGATCTGGACTGTAAGGAGGGTGCTCAATAAGTTTCAGTCCAGTAGTGGTCAAGGCTTTGGCGTGGTGAGCTGGAGTGTTGTCATGGTGGAGGTACCAAGTTTACATTCTTGACTTTGGCCGCAGGTTTTTCATATATTCTATGACTTTAGGCAGGCACTGTTCCGAGTACCACTTAGCTGTGACTGTCTTCTGCATGTCCAAAACGACACCCTCCACAATTCTACTCAATATAAAAAATACAGCTATCATTTTTTCTTAACAGGTCGGGGTTTTCTGACAACTACGGGTTTGTCATCAAAGACCCAAACTTTGTTTTGAGCCGTAGTCGGCACATCCTAATAATAGAGCCAAATCTCGTCACCTGTCACGATGCTGTTCACATACCGAGATTGCCCCTTATCAAACATTTTCAGCATCTTTCGGCACCAAGTCGTACGAGTCTTCTGCTCTTCCGTCAGACTATGCGGTACCTAGAGAGAACAAAGTTTCCTTACGTGTAAATTGTCATGCAGAATTGAATGAATTGCTGGTGCATGGCGGTGTAAGTCTCATCTATCTGTTGGTACGTCACTCTCCGGTCTTCGTCAAGCAAGTTCCTCACGGCAGTAATGTTTTCTCTGTTACTGACGTTCGCGGCCTTCCTTCCCTCTCAGCATCCTCCTAAATGCAATTGCCCCTTTGAACTTATCTGTACCTTCTGAATATAGTCGTACGATGAAGACAATCATTCTTTAATGCAAGTGTCAGTTCTTCTAAGCACTGATGGTCTATGCTTAAACCACGCGTAAAGTTATAGCGTAAAACTGCCCTAATCTCAATACGAATGAACAAGGTTCTGCAGACTAGAACCTTTCATATAATCTCTAATGCTCCATGGTATGTCTTCAATGCGCAGTAACGTTAGTCAGGCATAATCGTACAGCAACCCTTTGTTGTGTGAGTTGGTCAACAACCCCGTCCGCAGCTTGCACTGTAAATGAAATTAAATCGTTCAGTTTTAGGTTCAAACAAAATTACAATTTTTCCATAACAACCAATCTCCTAATTAATAATGCTAAGGCACTTGTCTTATCGATGCATTTCCTCCTATTTGTCCTACTCCTCCTTCCTTTATTTCTTTCTTTCTGGTTTTGCTGGTATATGGGCAACCAAACCTGGCAGACCTACTGCAACACAAAGGTCTTACGGGCCGCTCTGACAGAAAACGACGAATTAAAGAACATTTTGTAAAAGTTTCAGCAAAACCAGACCGGTACTTCCTAAGTTTTAGTAAGGCGAAGGATTACCGTACAGCCTGAAATGAGTATCACGGATTTTCATGATGTAGAAGTAATTTACTTCCCACGCCTACTGGCGTGGAAGTATCGTCACTCATTTCCGTCGGTCTGTCAGTCTATCCGCTAATCTTATATCCTCCTATAACTCGTGAAGTACCGCTCGGATTTCGATGAAATTTTTACACTAAAGTTTTGTAGTTTTTGAAAACTGGTTTAGTGGCGGTAGAGAAATAGGCCTAAAATGGAAAAATTAAATACCGCTCAAACTTTTTTGACATTTCAGAGGATCCAGAACATATTTGAAAAAACAATGTAGAGGATAAAAAACTTGGGGGCGAGAGTTGTAGGGGGTGGGGAGGGTAAGTCTCAATTTTTTGATGTTAGTACATTGCTTCCAACGTTGGTAATTCTACGCAACTATTAGACGTATTTCTCACATCTGTGCATTATTAGCCTTTAAACTATTCTCGGCAGAAGGACCGCGTACCTACCGGCCGCTCCGGCATCGTGCCGCCGGCCTTGGTGAGTGTTCTGTTTTCTCTCACACGTATTTTTGCCACGCCGTAGCATAGTGTTTCCTATGCTCTGACCGCGCTGCCACAGTCTGACCGAGTTACGTATCGAGGAGAGCCGGCGTTTCCAGATGTACTACCAAATAATGTCTATGGACTACTTGTATGGACCTGTCTGACTTACAATTTTCTCAGAGGGTCTAGTTTGTGCTGAACTGATAACGGCGTTGCGTGGGAAGTACAGAGTCAACCTACTTGACGCCATTTTTTATTGTTTTATTTTCAGTTGCGAATATATAGGTTACTCCGGACGCTATTGGAAGAAACGGATGAAAACGAATTTGAAACAAATTTTTCTAAAATATTTGCATCCCTTAGCGTGGATCAAGAAACAGCTCAGTTTGCAGATTTTTTTGTCACTAACTATACGATGGACGTTGCAAGTTGGGCCTATTGTTATCGCTCAGATGTCGGGATAAAACCGAGCTTGCATCTTGAGAGGATGTGCAAAACTATCGAAAACGTATATTTGAAAAGCCAGAGAGACAAGAGACTTTACCAAGGAATCAACGCTATTATGAACTTAGGGAGTGGCAGTCTAGAGCACTCGGTCGATTTAGACAAAAAGCAACTAGACAAGAAACTCCAAACTACATTTTATCGTCATACCACCAGTCTGAACATGGATTTAGATTTGGTATTAAGCGGAGAGGATGGTTGGAATGTACTGTCTATAGACTTGAAAGAATCCAATGTCGTTCAAAGGATTAGAGATAGTTGTGACTGTGAATCAAGTTGCCTATATTGTCAACGCTGTCTTCATCAATATGTTTGTTCATGCAACGACTTTTTCCTTGGTTCTAATATGTGCAAGCATATACATTTGATTTGCAGATATTCCGATGATCAGGAGACCACTGATGAACCCAAAGATGCTGGTATGTATATAAAACAAATAAGCGTGCGAAAATGTGAAACGAACTTTAATTTTCGTCGTTTTTGGTAATCAAAATCGCAGTTTGGCAAATTATTATAAAAGTGGTGTGTTTAAATTCTACTTCACAGCTCATTGAAATTTCTGGACTATTAAAAAATGACATCAAGTAGGTTGACTCTGCACTTCCTACGTAACGTTGTTCTCAGTTCATAAAGGATTATGTCCGGCACAAGTTGGCCAGTTTGAGAGGAAAGTTAGCTACAAACATGTATAACCAAGTACGAGTATTAAATGGATCAAGTTAGTTAGACATGCCCATACAATTATTTGCATATTTAGCATACTTTTCTGTACAATACAAGAAAATATGCTCCCTCGCTCTTCAAATAATTTTGTAGTCAGATATGCTTTCACACAAAGTTATCTCTTGCTGATGGATGACCCTTCCCCTTCCCCTAAGAAAAATTCCTGCGGGTGCACTTGATCGTAACTATGTATGTACAGAGTGTTAATTAAGTATATACCATAAATTTAACAGACGATTCTTTGAGTAATTTTAAGACAAAAAGTTTATAAAAACATATGTCCCCAAATTCTTCGTTCTCAAGATACAGGGTGCTATAATTTAAAATTTTTTTTTTCGTAAATATCTTAAATATCCTTTACCGTATTTTGTTGTAATTTGGCGGTAGTATTTATAACATTAAGGAGCTAATTTAGCCCTAACTGTATTATGCAGTCCAGTGGCGTCTCGAGCGGGATCTGGACGAATACTTGTGACAAAAAATGTACGCCACTGACCAATTTTTATGTTCTTTGGTATAAGCAAATAGAAACACAACTTTCTTATTCCTTGAATTTTTTTCGTATGTTGCTTAGTTTTCGAGAAAAAAGTCCTAGTTGCATATCCGTCGACCACACAAGGAATACGGTTGAAAGTTTCTTTTGGAAATATTTTTTTTATAATTTTTTATTACTAATTATCTTAAAGTTATTTAGTATTTGCTGCAGTTGTTCTATAATTAGTAATAAAAAATACGCAAATTTTAAGGTCTAACCGGATTCCAAGGAGTGGGGCATGCCGTATATGCCACTATTTCTGGATCACCCTATACAGGGAAAACCAAATTTATCTGACGGCTTGAATTCAATGCGTACGAGCAGGCTGAAGTGCGAAGGTCATCACCACATTGCCTAGCAACGGTGACGCAGAAGGTCTTGCAATCTGTCGCGTTGCCAATATGTTACACCAGAAAATGTTTGCATAGACTTCTATAATAGGTTAGGTTGCTGTCAAATCCAAGAAGGAGGTCTGTTCGAACATTTAATATTTTGTTTTCATTTTCATTAGAATTATTTATTTCAATTTTGATGCGACTTAGTGGTTTAATTTATTTTAGAATTATCTTTAATTTCCACCTATGATGATAAAAACAACACATCCTGAAGTTTTTGTTAGATTTAGCGAGCGGTCGAAAAAAGTAACAAATACCATTACGCAATATTTCGTGTTCGCCGGTGAAAACCATTTCCAAAATCAAGCGGGACGATACTCCCCAATGAGCTCTAGATGGGTATTGACCAAAATCGCTCATCTATGATCATGGAAGTGGAAACCTTGCCTTGTAGTGTACGAGATGCGGTGTTGCCAAGTGAATCAATGATGCAATGTTGCAGAATTTGTGGCGACCCTGACCTTCCATTTCGACCTAAAATAAAGTGCCGTTAGGACCGATCCGGATCGACCCTAAGCACATTCAACACAATTCACAAACGTGTACGATCGAAATAAAGCCATTATTTGGACATAGAATGAGCTTCGCTATTAAGCTATCTCTTTCTAACATATGTGCCAATACACTATTTCTGGATCATTTTATATATATATATATATATATTATTTTGGTGTACAGCCTAGTGGTATTTTCAGGAAAAGACATCGTGGTGAAACAAGCTCCTGATGAGCCAAGTTCGTCTGGGAGCAGTCAGACAATACCCCTATTGTTAGAGACTGTGCGAAAGAGGGTTATCGAAGATATGACAAAACTGCAGAAACGCGTTGAGAACCTAGATGTTGAACAACTTATATATGTACAAAAATGTATCGCGCCTATAAAACCACAATTGGAAAATGCCAAACGATTGAAAACTGAATGATTAAAAAATGTATATATTTTTATTTGGTTTCCTTTCCTGCACGATCAATTCAATCCTCAGCTTTGTTGATAACAGCACTCTACGTACAGGATAATTCAGAGCGACAAGCCGATCTCCGACGGTGAGCTGGAAAAAAGATTAGCAGCGACTTTCTCTCTGATCAGAGACCTGGAGGTTATCACTGCTTGGGGATGCAACAATCTTGTGCAATTTAATGCTTCAAAAACTGAGTACTGTACCTTGACGAACAAAAAGTGTCCTAGTGCTCATCCATTCTCGATGGATGGCCGAGTTCTGTCAAGTCATTTCGGCTGGTCGAAGTCTAGATCACCGAGGACTTGATCTGTCGCGAACACATCTCGTCAATAGCAGCAGCTGCTGGGAAAGAGCTAGGCTATTTGTTTAGGGCTAAGAAATACTTTTTTCCACATGACCTTCTCACTCTATACAAGGCCCAGAGTCTTGAGTATTGCTCACACGTTTGAGGTGCTGCCGCCTTGAGTACATTATCAATGCTCGATGCCGTCCAGAGGAGGGCTGCTCGATGTTTCTTCTTTAACAGACACTCTTGCTAACGTTTCGCACCGGCGGGCCGTTGGTGATTTAACTCTATTCTACCGCTACACCAATAAGCTTTGCTCCCCAGAGCTCTCCTCCATGATGTCGCCGCGTGATAAGCCTGCCAGACACACCCGCCTGACTTCAGCCTCCCACCCTAACCGTTCGAATTTCGTACATCCAGAGCCGACCGATACAACCGCTCTTTGTACCTAGGGTATCGAGATTGAGGAACAATTTACAAAAGGAGGCGTTTCGCAGTTCTATTAACGACCTAGATAGAAAACGTAAATAGACAATATAAGTTTGTCGTGAACTATGCTTTACCTATACAAGCACCTCTTGAGGTATGGGGTTGTCCAAAACGGACGCAGGAAAGTAAACGCATATTAAAACAAGAAAGATTGATATTCAAATCAAGTTGGGTACTTTATTTTGAAGGTTCATTTATACTATTTATGTATGAAAAATAATATCGCTCAAATGTTCACCACGACTGGATTTACAGACGTCCACGCGATGGACGAAATTTTCAATGACATTTTGCAACATGGTCGGTTCTATGGCATTTATCTCGGCAATGATGTTGTTTTTGAGTTCTTGGAGGGTTTCTGGTTTGTTGACGTAGACTTTGCTTTTCAAATATCCCCCAGTCCAAGGGAGTCAAATCGCACGATCTTGGTGGCCATGGCACATTTCCTCTGCGCGAAATCACGCGATCACCGAAGAAGGACTGCAGTCGATGGATATTGACGTTGGTTGTGTGGCATGTTGCACCGTCTTGTTGGAAATAAACATCGTCCATATCCATTCCTTCAAGTTGCGGCAAAAAATAGTCCTCTATCATCACGTGATATCGCTCAGAATTGACGGTAACGGCGTCCCCGGCCGCATTTTCGAAAAAGTAAGGTCCGATGATGCCTTTTGACCACAATGCACACCACACAGTCACTTTTTGAGGATGCATCGGCTGCTCTTGATACTCACGGGGATTTTCGTTCGCCCAGATGCGGCAGTTTTGCTTGTTTACCGTCCCATCAAAGTGAAATGCGCTTCGTCGCTGAACATGATTTTTGATGAAAAATTGGCATCAATTTGGCGGTGTTCAAAGAGCCAATCTGAGAACGTTCGGCGCGAAAAATGGTCGGCCCGACGCAGCTCTTGCGTCAATTGGATCTTGTAGGCGTGTACATTCAAATCCTTGTGGAGAATGCGGAGCAAACTGGTTCTCGAAATGCCCAATTCTTGGGATCGACGCGTTGTTGATTGTTCCGGATCGTCTCTCACACTCTCCTTCACAACAGCAATATTTTCCGGTGTGCGAACACTCCTTGGCCGGCCAGAGCCTGGCAGATTTGCCACAGAACCTGTTGCCTCGAATTTACGCACCAGACGACCGATGGTTGTTTCGTTTGGGCGGTTGTTGCGACCGAAATGTTCACGAAGCGCGCGAAACGTGTTTTTTATTTTTGCACCATTTTTGTAATGCTCTTGAATAACTTTAATGCGGTCTTCAATCGAATACGACTCCATCGCGATCAATGGTAAACATTCAACTAACAAAATGAAATGTCGGTGACCGAAAACAAAGATGGCGTCTGTGTGACGTTTACTTTCCTGCGTCCCTATTGGACAACCCTTTATATGCGATCCTGAAAGATTTTCTATGATTTCAAAATCTCAAGTAGAGTTGAACGTCATCTTTAAATGTTTGCTATAAGGACCACACAAACGAGAGAAGGTACCGTAAATATTTCGTACTTCTTGTATGTATAGGCGGGCGCAGAAAGAAATTTTCTCCATTTGAATATACGAGTATCACGTAAAGTAAGGACTTGGTTGTCTACACAAACGATTCATCCAAGAAAATAAACTCGTTTATTTTTATACAGTTTTTAGTGAAAAATTACAGCCAGAACAAAATACGGCTCATATATAAAAAATATGAAAACGTAACAGCAAAAAAAAATGTGATGCGATAATATGACTATTTTAACAAAAATAGAATTAAAGCAACAATACAATTGTCCAAATAAAATCTAGGCATGAGCCAAATATATTTTTTCAAAATATGTATAGGTAACTAAATATGGATATAGGAACAATGAGCTAATGGACAGGAATATCTCAGAGCGTCTCAATAAAATAATTTTTCCATAATTTTGCATTACTCTGAGACCTCTTGTGTGTATACAGGGTTTGGCGTAAAGAGTGGATAACCTTTAAACTGCAGGTAGAGGACATCATAACGATTAAAAAAATTGAAAATTGTGTCTAGTAAAAGCTGCACGGTTTTCGGGTTTTTTTGACGTTTTTCAAATTTGGAGAAAATAGGTTCCTTCACTCACTGTTTTAACCCTTTCAAGCTTTGTGGTGTCACCATGAAACCACCTTTTTAATAATTTATCACGGCGCTGCGGAGTGGTTATCTGCCGATACCACCGTGTAAGAAGTAGCACTATATTGCCAACTAGTATGAAAAAAATTATTTACATAGGACGCCATTCCTAACAGCTTGTTATTTGACATTTATCGATTTGTTTTCGCAGTGTGCAGGTCAATGACGTGCGTGGTCATAAATTGAGTGTTTATTTAAAAAAATAAGGACAGAATGGCGGGTAAGTACTATATTTTATTGTATTAGGTATTGTTTTATGTTATTATCATAGGCACACGCGATTTTATATATTTTTATTGGTTGCTTTGAATAAAATTAAGGTGGTGTCAATTGATACCACATAGCAATCAATGCCTAATATTTTCGGTGATTTTGGATTTTTGCCTTGTATGTTTGGCAGTGTGTTTGTGTAATTAGTGGGCGTATTTTTCTGTTTTTGAGTAACTTGGTTGTTTTGCTGGGTTAGTTGATCTGCCGTCAGTTCGGTAATTGTGAAGTTTGCGGCGGGATGGAAGTCGATGGAAAAACTATTTAGACTATTGGTTGGTGGGCTACTTGTATGTTGTTGGTATGTTTGTTTATTGGTGGGTGTACTTTTGCTTTTGATTCAATTATTTTACTAAGTTAGCTGCTTACGTGGATAGTGACTAATTGATTGGGGATTTTGTTTCAGGGAAAAAGTGGTGTTACAAAGATTTGGAAAATATGACCTATGAAGAGTACAGGAATATATTTTTTCAGGACATACCTTCAGGAAATGAATCGGAGGATGATCAAAATGGGTCAGATGAAGACGTGCATTTTGCAGCACAAAAGCGGAACAACACCGTACGCGATGGTCGTGCAGTACTTGCAATGTCGGTTTGTGTCTGACTGACCAAAAAAATTGCTTTGAAAAATATCATAGCAAATAAGTTGTATGTTTTTACTTCAAACTCCTTTTTATAACATTATCTTAATTAAATATATGTTTCAGTAATATCTGCATTGTATTATTTTAGTGCTTGGTGGTATCATGGTGATACCACCTACTAATTCCTTTTTCTCCAAATGGAAAAATTTTCTGGGCTATTTTTAATGCTTTTGAGATCTTATCACTTCATTTTTTTCAGCTATAAATCAAATAGCTTAATAATTTAAAAATATGCCTTGAAAGGGTTAAGTCTCGTGATAACGCATGAAGGTTTTTGTTCTTTTTTTTTAGCATAAGTATTCTTGGATACATGTGCCATTAATTATGAATTGTCATTTCCGTGATACAGGTTTAATTGCTTTTTTAAAAAATCATTAAAACTCGGAAAAAAATTAGTTTGTTTTCTCTTAAGTTTGACCACGTGTGGCGTCGATAATATTGCGGTAACCTAGTGAAACAAGACGTGAATAATTTGCCTAATTCATTGAGATTGCAAAATGATATAATACACCGTATTTCCTGCTGTTAACTCAAAGGATACTCCTATCAAGGTTAGCTAAGACTCCTATTGCAATTTCTATTACTGCAGGTTAAAGGTTATCCACTCTTTACGCCACAGCCTGTATGTGCTGGTAATGTTGGTATACACGAATACGGTGATCCAATGTACTGATATACCATGATTTCGATTTATTATCTAGGTTTTTTCAAATCTAAGATATACATTAATCCCACGTAAGAAACCAGTTAGAACATATCAGAGCCAAAAGGCGATTCGCAGTGATATCAAATATCTATTACAATTTATGAAAAACAAATGCTTGATTTCGTATATGCTTTTAATTTTGACGATTGTTTTAAAATACACAAACGATAGGAAAGGTCACCCAATGGCACTGATATGTCTAACTAGAAACGTTTTTAAACCTAAATAGTTGCTTTTATTCTGCGACAAAAGCTTTTTTATAGGTACAAATCACAGATAAAATAAATATAACTGAATAACATAATTTGATAATTTGATTGCATGTGTAAATTATTTCGGTGATGACACATGATTGTAAGATAACTAAAATACGTAGAAACACTATGTTTACATTTAATCGCGATTCAAGTTGACACACAATAACAAAACAGTTTTTAAAGAAAATAATAATGGGTAAACTTTCACCATTATTAAACAAATTACACTGTGGCAAAATGAATTTTTGATTAGTCTCCTCTTCCCTGTTTAGAAGATCCCCGGATTTAAATCTTCGCTGATTTTTTCGACAATGCTGACCATGTACGCCGATTTTTTCTACATTTCTTTCTGTGCTTTTTGTATTTTGAATTTTTCTGAGTTTTCTATAAACTATGAAAACTATGAACATAGAAATTTGATACTCTATTTTTCAACAGAAAAATAAATGCATTTATTCCTTAACCGCCGCGTCCACGTATGTATAGAAAAAGCAGCATATTCATGGAGCTTGTTATACAACTTGACAGGCTTTTTTATTCATTTGAAAGTATTCCACAAGAACTAAAAAAACATTTTGCTTCCGTAATGTTGAACTTTTCTTTTCAAGGAAACGGTCCACACAAAAAAACTTCAAATTAAACAATCATCTTGTATTCAAGTATCACCTCATGTAGTTCTGCACCCTGGAGACAAATAGAAGACTTTTAATTTATTTTGTTGAAATGGTACAACTTTCATGTCTAATTTTTCATTTTGCTCCATAAATATTCATACCTATATTCCCTTCAGAGGACTTGCAACTCCAGCTACTATGTGTCTTTGATAAAGCATTTTCCACACTATATCTAAGTACGTATATTTGACAACCAGTCAAATTAATCTAATGCCCCCCTACAATGTGAGATTTTATAAACCTGCCAATGTACTGCAACGCTAGGAAAGTCTTGTTAGGAGATAACCTCTGCCTCAAAAGATAGTAACTACCGCTCCTAAATAGAAGGAAGATGCAACACAGTGCAAGCACATCAACCCAGTATTTGGTATTTTCCATGCCCATCTCTTGGATGAAGAAGTTCAGGTCGGTGTAGATGCAGAAATCTTCATCGTCCGGACAGTTCAGCTTCTGTCGACCTTTCAACATGGCACTGATAAGGCCCTCCAGCGAATACCTGAGGTAGCTGAAGTACATGGCAATCTTGATTAGGGTGGGGATGGTGTCGTATCCAGAGCCAAAACCGTAGACTGCGAGCAGCATGAAGGGGACTGTCGCCACTGGACCGACGAACATTGCATTCTGAAAAATAGTACATTTGTAAAATGTCAAACTCGTGAATATTATCGGAATAATATCAGCTGTTGCTAAAAGTGCCGTTCCGCACAGCGACAGTGACAGATGAAGCTAGTGGCATAACTTTGATATAGGTCACGGCAAACGTATATACCCTATTCGTAATCCATTTACGCCCCGGCACAACAAACACGCAGCCGTCTAAGCGTTGCAATAGCTATTGGTCATTCGGCTATAAAACTACAAACAAGTGCTGGATTCGACAGGATAGAACTCAGGCTCGGGGAATCGCCGGAAGTTGCGAATTTAATTAAAATTTAAATATATGGGGAAATCAAATATTAAATATTACAGACAGGTATCTAATTGAATTTTCAGTGTTTTCTGACTTCTGAAGAAATCAACTTAGAATACTGATTTGCTAACCTTGAAGATCCAGACAGGAAGGAATTGCTAGTATAATTAGTACGAAATGATCTCACATGGAATGGTTGGTTCAGTCTTGTTTGACGAGAATGCACATGGAGATTAATATTTTTCAAAAGTTCTGGAGCAAAACTAAGAGAGTGCAAAATATTATAAAATAGTGACAGGTCCCTCTGATTCCGTCTTACCTGAAGGGCTGAGATATTGAGAGAGCTTCCAATGACGGAATAGATAATATCTTCAACCATAATGTTTTGCTTGAATGAAATGAATATTAAGAATTTATGTTGCACTTTCTCAATTGCCTAAATATGAACATTATAGTTGGGTGACCAAACATAAGAACAATACTCCAAATGGGGCCTCACCAGAGAACAAAACAACGCTTTCAATGACTGAATATTATGAAAATCTTTAGCACATCGTGTTATAAATCTCAACAGTTGAAGAGATTATTTCTCCAAATGCTTCCTTCAGCCATGCTTCCTCTTCAGTGATGTCTTCTCCCAGAAAACGGTACAAGAAGAAACATTTGAATATTCGGCAAAAGAAATTGTCCTTAACGTTTACAAGAGCGCAATTTTAGAGCATCCTGAAAAGAAAATTCATTTTATTGAATTGTCTCCAACACACAAGAGGCTGCATTACACAAAGCTGTTGGATACAGTTGATAACTTTGATCGGAATGCTATCAGACGCAAAGTCCATTAATTTTTTGAAAGGCAGGAACTTCTTACCATAGACAAAGTACCACAGGAGGTTAATAGTGATGAAGACTTTATCTACTTTCAAAAGGACCACATTCTATAGTTTACTCAAAGAACTTTATTTTGAGTATAGAAAACGGGACAGAAATAGTATTTTGATGGAGAGCCAAGAAATTCATTTATTGAAAAGAACTTATCTAAAATCAATAAAGAAATGCCGCGACCAGGGGAGGAAGATTTATTACTTGGATGAAACATGGATGAATGCAGGACATACAAAACCTAAAGTAAGGGCTGACTCTACAATTAAATCAGTAAGACAAGTCTTCTTAGATGGACTAACCACTGTCCTAAAGAATCCATCAGGTACGTGAATCTAACCAATTCGTCATTTGTGCTGTAAAAATGGTGTAAAGTAGGCTGAATCTATGAGCCCACGCTGAAAACTTAGTTATACTAAACTTATCTGGTAGTCTTCTTGAATATTATATGAAATAATTATTTCCAGGAAAAGGAAATCGATTTATCTGTCACATTGGCAGTGAAGATGGCTTTGTGCCTACTGCCCTATGGACATTTTGGTCAAAGAAAACGACCGATTACCATGAAGAAATGGACAGGAGTTCAGTTGAACGATGGTTTGAAGAAATGCTCCCAATGATTAACGAGAATGCCATCATTGTATTTGATAATTCTGCATACCACACTAGAAAACTAGAAAAAATTCCCACAATGTCCACAAGAAATGCAGCAATTCAACAATGGCTCCTATCAAAAGACATTTGTTTAAATCAAAATATGGTCAAAGCAGAACTTATCCATCTAGTCAGGCAGCAGAAATATAAATATAATCTTGATGTTATTGACGAAATGACTGAACACCAAAATAAGACCGTGTTAAGGCTACCCTCTTATCGCTGCGAATTAAATCTCATTAACATGATTTGGGTAAATATAAAAAACTATGTGGCTTCAAACAATAGAACATTCAAATTTTCTGACGTGCAAAATTTGTTTTATGCAGCTGTCAACAGAGTGACGGCAAATGATTGGAAAGGTTGCATCCGTCACGTTCAAGAGACAATCGATACAAAGATGTGGGATCTGGACAATATGTTCGATATTCAAATTGAACCTGTAATAATTAATATTAACCAGTCGGACGATGATTCAAGTATTTCCAGCAAATAAAGAATTCTGAAAAGTATGTGCACTTCTTTCTATAAAAATAATCATTTATTTTGTTAGATTATTCCACGACGATTGAGGAAAATACGGACCTGTACAATCTCGCTTTTCGGCATGCTCTGTTTTGTCTGGGCGTAGTGTCTATTTACATTTTTTCTGCTTCTTCCTCGCACCGACACGCGTATAGTACGGTAATTATATGATATAGGTCTAAATAAGGATGAAAGCTGGTTTATCTGTATAAATTATACATTTGACCAATGTAAAATAACGTAAAAAGCACTAATAGTTCCATATAATTGCTTTGAAGGTAGCGAATTTAAAATAAATCGCATTGTTTCGATACGGGCACAGCAACAAATAAAAAATGTAAATACAGTGGACCTCCGGTAATCCGACAAACATTATGCAGGGCAGTGCCGGACTATCGAATTTGTCGGATTATAGAGCACTGCCTAAGACCCCCTATAGTCCGGAATTTTTTACAAAAGAGTACCTTATAATCCGACAAATTATATATCCAATGGTAAGATTACATATGTTATGTATATGTATGTACTTTGAAGTACAAATCATACATAGTTTATGTATGTCGAATTTAGTAAATTAAATAACAATAGAGAGCTTATGTTTTATTATAAAATTAAGCATAAATGCACATACATATGTACCAAAATAATCAAGAATTATTAATCAAAATCATTAATGAATTTATCAAACTATGAAGCTTGGAAATATTCATCAATTTTTTTTGTTTAAGGTTGTTATATCGCGAGATCAGAGCTTTGTTCCTCAGTCTTCTCAAAAGTAGAAGTTCGTTGTAGGATGTACCATTCTCTTCAGCCCATTGTAAACCTAGCTCAAAGGCGTCAGTCAATTGCGTCTTGTGCTGTGACTTGTGGAGCAGTTGGAATCACGTCGTCGTTATTTTCCTGATTGTTTGTTGTATAATTAGAAACCTCTTTTATAATATCTTCGTTAGACATTTCATGAAAAACATTTGCCTCTTTATCCATTCCACGGCACCAGATTTCCAAATCTTCCGGACTTATCTCTGCTTCAGTAGCGACTTGTTCTATAACTTCCGAAGTAACACTGATTTATGGAACGTTGCTAGGAGTGGTGACTATATCTGGCCATAACTTTTTCCAAGACGATTTAATAGTTGATGACGGTAACGCATTCCACGACTGACAAAGAGCAAAAACCAAGTCTTTCATATTAAAGTTTTTTCTATTGGTTGGTCTTTTGATACGGCTCTCAGAAGTAGGTTTTTCTTATAGTCTTGCTTGACAAACTGAATGATATTCTGGTGCATTGGTTGAATCAGTGCAGTGCAATTTGGCGGAAGAAACATCGCAGTGATGCATTTATCCTCAGTTGTTAGTTCTTCTTCAGACGGATGACCGGGAGCGTTATCAAGAAGTAACAACGCTTTTTGAGGAAAATTATGATCTTTTAACCATTTTCTAACTTCAGGCACGAAGCATTCATCAAACCACTTTTTGAAAAGGTCTTTTCTCATCCATGCACTTTTTTGTCCGTAATAGTGTACAGGTAAATCAATGTTTTTGAATGCCCGTGGTTTATTAGATTTCCCAATGACCATCATCTTAAGCGCGTGTGTGCCCGCAGCGTTAGCACATGCTAGTATAGTTACACGATCTTTACTTACTTTTCATCCAGGTACGGATTTTTCGTTACAAGAAACGAAAGTTTTGTTAGGTATCACACGCCAAAAAAGCCCTGATTCGTCTGCATTGTACACCTGTGACGGGTCAAGATTTAAATCGTTCACCTTTTGCAAAAATCTTAATTTAAAGGGCTCTATGCAGGTGGCATCGTTAGAAAGTTTCTCTCCTGTAATAGTCATTAAACACTTTTAAAACGTTCTAGCCATCCTTTGCTGGCCACAAAATCATCTTTTTTTGTTATTTCCTTATAAAAAAACTTAGCTTTCATGGCCAACATGGGTCCTGAAATTGATGCATGCCTATTTCTTTTCTGAAGAAACCACATGTACAAAGCTTCTTCCATTTCTGTTCAGCTTTCTTGAGTGTCTATCTCTTGCCTGGCCCGCAGTCAGTAGTTGACACGAACTTCTTGATCTTCTCGTGGGGTTTCTTTTAATGTCATAAATTGTAGATCGGCCTTCGCCGTATTCACTTGCTAAACTACTGAAAGTTTCATTGCGATTTAAGCGGTCTAAAATATCACATTTTTCTTTAATTGTCAATGTTTTGTGCTTTCGCTTCTGAGTTTGTGATGACATTACTAGGTACTATACTTAATACACAATGAATAAATAGTAAACAATGAACGCATGCTAGGCCGTACCGCTATCGCCAGTAGTCAAATTCAAACTAAGTAAAACAATGCTTACGCGTCGAGCCGTCGAGCACGATAGCGGTGGCGCGTACAAGTTGTGACCTGTTCAAACCTGCGTGATCTACATTAGCGAAGATTGTCAAATACGTATGTATGTAATACATATTCAAAGACATGTCGGATTACAGGGGGCGCCGGATTAGACAGGGGCCGGATTATCGGGGGTCCACTGTAGATACTATAAGTCTGTAGTGAACTATAGCAGCAAATCTGTCCCTGTCACACTTTGTCCAGAGAAGACAAACAAGGCAAATGAAATTAGAGAGATATAAATCAAATCCACGCGAATAACCAAAATTTCTGTGTTATGTACGGCGGTTATAATATGGTTTAAGATGACACACGTGTTGATGATGTCAGTTACTCGAACCGCTTGGACGCATTGGTTTTAACCGCGGTTTTGTTGCAAGTTGTTTATTTTAGAAAAGCGTGTATATAATTTCTGATTATATTTATTATCGCTTAATAATCGGTGCTTTTTGGTCTACAACAGTGTATGGAAAGTTTAAAAAAGAATCCTTTCATAATATTAATGGGAGGAATGTTTTTTTTCAGAAAATAATTTTTAATAATGGAACCATGGCTTTGATAACTTTCAAGTCTCTAAACTTTTCCGCATGTCAAAGAGAACATTTATTGATTTAGCAGAAACGATAGGAAAAAGCGATGAAAAAAGATATTAGTAAAACCGTATAGAGGTGGACATTATTCTTGTGGTATATGGCTACACAGGATACTTTGTTAAGCAGAGGAACTAGATTTAAAGTGACCCAACATCAGTAATGAGTATAACGAAAGGGGTGCTCTACTTGTGCTACAACTGAAGTCAGCCTGAAGAGATGTTTCCCAAAAATGATGAAGAACATCAAAAATATGCAATACCCGGCAAAATTCTAACTTGTCACATTTCTAATAATAACCAAAAATATAAAACTACTCCTGAGTTGGGTAAATACCACAATCTTGCGGTGATAACTATGACATATAACAGCTGATTCATGTAAATACCATTTAGTTATTCACTAGAATTTGATTATAAACTGGCCAAGGAGACAATATTACGTTTAACGTGTTGATACTTGGCAAGAGATGCAGTGCTGCCAGATACATAATTCTATATGGATGAATTTATTGTGGGTGCGTTGTGCATTTTACTGATCTTTCATACTTCCTAAAATCGGATTTGAGTATTTCACATTGATAATGACTAGCCTTTAGACTACAATTTTTAGTAACCTTCAGCACAATTGCGGCACAATTTTACCAATTTGAATACGTTAGTCAATGTTCATTAAACGTTTGTGGATTGATTAAATACTTGTTTATTTAGGAATCTCCATATAAAACTTCAAGTGGCTCTAGAGTGCACGATCGCGCAAACTGACAGACATCATCATGAGCGCTCGCATGACCCCCCTGGGATTCCAGTTGGACCTTAAAATTTGCATATTGAGAAATTTGCTATCTCCTGCTCTTTAAAAATGTCTAGACACAAAAAGTGGTTTCGGGTCGATGATTGCCCCCCTCCCTGAGAAAAAATCGCGCGGCCATCAAGGAATCGTGTAGTTGAGAATTTTACTCATGTCTGTATCTTGTACAAAGATATTTTTAAGGTTGATATTATCAAATGGGGTCTGCAAAAAGTCCATATTTATGGCACCACTTTCCATAAAATAATAATTTTCATAAACAAATGGGAGTGAGCATTTCTAATACGTTAGTATAATTTTAACGGGTTCCTCCGTCGTAAAACGATCCATAAAGTGACCATATTATTTTATGTCAAATGGTCAATGTCAGAGAATGAGGCTTATTCTTCTCACAGTTAACTTGAATGTCATGGCAGATGCAAAGGGTAGTTTTACCAAGAGAAGACAGACAAAGCGAATACATTTTAGACAGATGAGAGATGTAACCATGGCGACCACAAAACAGTTCATAACGTCTAAATACGTGCTGTTCCTATTTGGTTAAAATAAATACGGTTTTGACAGACAGATAATTCTTTTTGGATGAATTTGTACTGAAAGCACTTTTTGTTAAAATTTGCAGCCTACGAAATATGTATATATTTCATTATTCAATAAACTTATAAATCACACTGTAACTGTTCTTTGCGTCATTTAAGTTATACACGATTTAATTAAGTAAAAAAGAGGATTTACAACATCAAATTGCTTATTTGATCAATCATCGGTGTATTTGGCATATTTTCCAGTTATCTAGATATCCTGGCCTTAAGACGATATGTTTAGATATTTCGTGAGACTTTTTGACGTAACCACCAAAAAGAATTGACCTCCATTCAGTTCAGTATAAATGTATCGTTTTCTGAACATTTTATGTCAGTTTGCCGACACGCCAAAGCAAGCCATCTATGAGCGAATCGCTAAGCTAAGTACGGTACGCTCATAGAGCGCAGTTTCTTGTTAACCAGTAACAGTCCAACAGCCGATCGCAAAGTTTTGGTTACTTCGCGGCAAGTTTGCTGTTAAGCATCAACATACGTACGATTTCATTAGTTTTTACCGTATCATATCAATACGCGATGATGTGATCAAAAATTTGTGGTTGCCTATAACTACTGTTTGGCTGAAGTTGGATCATACAGCAGGGGGGTGAAAAAACGTCTTATGGGCGAACTGACACCACCAAGGTCATCCTCTCAAGGCAAAATCGAGGTAATTGTATTACCGGCATCACGTGACGTGCTGTTTGCCGGGATTCAGGCTAATTCTAATATAAAGCAACACTATCAGTAGCTGTGATGGTATACGTGAAATGTATTGTGACTATCGTGGGAGATGCGGAAAATCAGAAGACTCTGTCATGTCATAAAGTGCCACAGATAGGCTGTGAACTTAACATATCGGCATGATGTATTTGGTAGATTATTTAAAACTGCATGTCTGGATTATTCAGCCTCTTTATAATCCTTGTAGTTGGCACCAGTATACAAAGTACGGAAGACCAACAAATTAAAGGCATAGAACGGAGCAAGCTAATTAAAAGTGACTAGGTTATTTACAAAGAATTATAAATTACATTAGTGTTTTCTGTATTGTTTCAGAATTATGAAGAACCGGTACAATGGAGTGAGACACTTCTTGTGTTTTACAACACTCAAAATGAATTTGAAATAAATCTATCTATATTTTCATGTAATACAATTTTTATACCTTTGTCAACAGCATACGAATATTTTTTGAAACTAAATAAATTTGGTGCTTCATAATTAGGGTTGGGTTTTATTATTCTGAACCTTTTCTCAGCAAAACTGCTGAAAGAGATATTACCCTTATCGGGGATATTTTTTTGAATATATGTTCATGAAATAATCCTTCAATATCGGAAATATTATTTTCAGCAGATTTAAATTATGAACAAACGAAATCCCTGACAGCCCAGCACATTCCTTATTCCAGGCACATTCTTAGCATTCTTTCGATAGTTCCTCCAGACCTCCCGGCAAGTAGGCGGCGCAACCATCTGACAAACGGCAACGGTGTTGCCATTGTTTAACGTGCAGCTCCCACTTCTTCAGTCTTTTTTTTGTGTCATACAGTATTCACTGAATCAGCAGTTACGTCGCAACGACAAATAATGACAGTGACGCACATGGTTGCCACATTACTTAAAACTACTAGTTCCTAGGAAATAAACCACAAATAAACAACAACCGTTGGAGTAATTACCTGATGACAAGCTTTGCGACAATGTCAGAATACAAAAAACTGTTACCAACATAAATGTACTCAAGAAATTCAAACTCTACGTACCAACTTGGGATTTATTTTGAATTAAGTTTGGAATTCAAATTTATTAAATATGACGTAACTGCTTTGTTTCAGTGAAAGGACTATATAACGACAGCACGAAAAACCGTAAAGGCAAGCGAAAAAGTGTAAAACTTTTGCAAACTATTCGGTCAAAATGAAAATTTTGCAAAATGCCTCATTCGGAGAGTTGAATGTATAGCCTGCCCTATTTTCAATCGTTCAACATACGTTGCACATTTCGCTTCCTTTTATTAGAAAAAAATATTAAGTAAGTCTGTAATGTATCAATATTTTTATTTACCACTAAATTGAGCTGGGAAGCGATAAGTAATCCCAAGCTTTCCGAGGTGATGCTGGTGAGAATGCATACGACGAAGAACATCAACATTCTCATCGGTTCCATTGGTTGGTCAGTCAGGACGTAGACTATACACACGTACAGCGATCCCAGGATCAGTTGCAATGGCAAGGTGGAGGCCGTCATAGCTGTGAAGTACGCGCTGAGGCGGTACCATTTGTTGAAGTGCTCTCTTTTCAGTAATTGTACTTCTTTTGGAACTGAAAAGTATAAAGAAATTGTAAAAATCCTGTTGTTCCGAACTATTCATACCTTAATTTAAAAATGCAATTATCATTTGAGTATTGCGGAAAGTTGTAAAATCCAATTCAAGATCTCACTTTCTATGGGGGTTGATAGACTGAACTTTTTCACTGTTTCTTCCTTTGACCTGTGCGGGTCTTTTGTTTATTTATGACCACGGTCATACGAAGTGCTAATAGTCAACATACAGTGTAAATGTTCATCCAACCTTAATTACTTTTTACAATGTACAAGAAATTTTGACCTTCCATCTTCAAAGTAAGTTCTTTTGATATTGTAAAAAAAGTCACGAAACATACTAAAACAGAATTTGAAAACTGGAATAATATACTCACATTGTAAAAGAACTGGCATCATTGGTATATACATAAAGAATATAAGGCAAGTGAAGTAGAAACCGAAGTTGAATAACGTTTTGGAGCCATCTTGTCCCATGCCAAGGTACAATGTTCCTATGACACATCCAATCAGTATGTATAGGATGCATCTTAATAGAAGATAACTCTAAAAAACAAATAAAAATAAAAATCAACGAATATAAGACACTAATTCAGTTATTGAATAGGAACTCACTATGAACCACTGGCATACCCCTTTACAAATTCAATTAAAATCGGCACATAAATTATTTAGGATACGCTATGATACAGCTTTGGTGCTTCATAAGAATCCAAAAATGCGTTGCACAATTTGTTTCGCTATGCGTGGGAATCATAAATAATGATGTAACGAAAATCTGTTTTGTATAAGATTTTGTATAAGATCAAAACAAGCCAATTTGGCTCTAAACTGAAAAGCACGTGTTGGTTGTAAATGCTTTCCCTGATCTTCTAGCTGTGTTCTAATTTAGATATGATTACAAAACTCATCATATACAAATTAGTGGTCACTAAAACCAGTACTTACTGTTCATTTACAGCTATAACTCGCTTAAGATAAGCATTTTAAAAGGAATGTATGTAATATGTGCGTGTGACATGCATTACAGTAAATTAACTATAATTATGATTTCCTATTGAGATAGGCATAAAAATAAGAAACAAAATACAATTTATTCAAACAGATTAGCCGTTCTTGTTCCTCATATTCTTTCAAAATGCGTGGTTAATGAGGTGTTTCTCGCAATTCGAGCAGAATAGTACAAGAGCTCCAGAAATGGTTCAGAATATAAAACAACCAATACAGTTAATAAAAAACTAGCTGTAGTATGGGTGTACTTATATTCTGACGCCAAATTAAAATATGATACAGAGGGTACTTCCTAAACATAAGGCAAATATTGAAGAGGTGAATCTTTAGATAATATTGATACCAGTTTTTCATTTACACTGGAAACATTTTTCCGACGGCCTGAGTTCAATGTGTACGAGAGAGAAGTGTGTATAGATAGAAATGTTAGAAAAAGGTAGAAGCCGGCTGGATAGCAAAGTTCATCATCGCGTTCCAAACATGTTACACCAGCTCCTTGAATTAAGATGCATGTTGAAAATATGCGTTAGTTTATTCTCTACGCCCAAATAATGGTTTTATTTTGAGCGTACGCATTTTTGAATTGTGAATTGTGTCCAATCTGTTTACGATCGATTCTGGATCGGTCCTAAGGGCGCTTCATTTTAGGTCCAAATGAAAGCTCAGGATCACCACAAATTTTGCAACATTGCTTCGTTAGTTAGCTTGGCAACACCGCATCTCGTGCATTAGAAGGCCAGTTTTCCACCTCATAGATGAGCGATTTGGAATAAATTAAAACACTAAGTAGCAACAAAATTGAAATAAACCATTCTAATCAAAATGAAAACAAAATGTTAAATGCTCCTTCTTGGGTTGACACTAACCTAACCTATTGTAGAATCCTGTGCAAAGATTTTATAGTGTAACATATTGGCAACAAGGCAGATTGCACGACCTTCTTCGTCACCGTTGCTAGGCATTGAACTCAAGCCGTCAGACAAATTTGGTTTTTTCTGTATTTTCAAATTACCATTTGGTTTCAAAGATACGCCTAACGGACGCCAAGAAATCGGTGTTTTTGAGAGAAAAAAACTTATTTCAAAACTGTTCAAGTCAATGCCAAAAAGTGGGACAAGAGCCTAACACTTGATGAAGGTTTTTCGGCTGATAACGAACCTGTTGCATTTTTGCTGCATGTCTTAGAAACAGCCTATATGAAACATTTTTCAAAATAAGAATGCGTATGTATGGGAAAAATAAATATTTCTTATCCTTCCTCCTTCTTTCTCCTCACCTTCTTCTACACTCAAAAAATTGAGAATATTTTGCCCTTTCCCAATAGATACATCATGTAAATCATGAAAATCTCATCAGTATTTTCCGAGCTAGCACAAGGTTGAGGATTTGTGCTCAGAGGGTCATCCTGGACAGTGTGATGTCATAAGTAAAAAGTGTGACTACTATTTTAACCATTTTCAACCATGATTCACTAAATTCTTATCTTCTTGAACCTTGAATATATGACATTTTTTATGTATGTTGCGCAAATAACATTAAAATGTTGGTTCGCAAGATACGGAAGCACGTCCATTCGTAATAACGTACTTTGAGTCATATAAACATCGATTACTAGGAACAAAAAGATAGTATCATCATGGTTTATAGTCCACTATATTGAATAATAGGTGAATCATGCTTCTAATTATCATTACAGTACCGACTATCTGCAGCAAAATAGATATACGTAGTTGCCTACTTAGATAATACATTAATTAAACCATTTTATTTTGGAAGAATTAGGTACTTTTCATTTTTGCGTGAAATTGGAGGTAAAAAAAAATTGCCAGTTGTTCACAGTAACATAGCAAAAATGGGCATGTCGCACAAGTTTCTGTATTGCTATTGGTTATTGGATATTTATTTTTTTCGGAGCTTTACGGCCCAGTTAAATGAGAGGAAGAACACCTTAAATTTGAAATTCTTGGTTGAGTCACCTCAGCACTTGTGACGTAAGAACCAATCAGGCTCGTGGTCTTCGTGCGTCGATTTCATACGTATCAAAGTGTTTTATTGTGGACTTTGTAAAAATAAAACACCCATTTTATGAAACATCAGTTGAACTTGAACATGTGCATTAAAGAAAAAGTCTCTTGATTATGTGTCAAATTGAATTGGATATATTTCCTATCGCCTCTCCAGAAATTTCTTGCTTACATTCTACTTCTCCTCCGCCTCAGAAAATGAATTGTTGCCAAACCAATTTAAAAGATGTCATGTATGAAACTTGACCCGTGGTAGATGTAGAAATAAAAGTTTAGTAGCATTTCGGCCACCTCGGTGGTGTAAATTGCCATTTTGAATTTTGTACACTATGAATAATGCCACCGAGGTAGCGAAAGAACCAGTAAATCTCTAAACTTCATCAGTGACTTCATGGGGCGGCCAGCAGAATATAAGATTAAATTCAATCAATAAACTAGCGAACGTTTTATTTAAAGATTTTTCAGAAACCGAGCCGTTTTGTCCTATCAAAAATCGTGACTGTAGAGCTCACGGATTTATACCAATATTTAGACAATGGAGAGGTAGTGCAGATGCTAGCGCCATCTGTTAAATCAGATGCTATTACACAATGTAAATAAATAAATTGTCAAAAACATTGATGGATTTCTTCAGGGTAACAGGAAGTGAAATTACATGATCAAATTTATTCAAATCAAGCATACCAACACATAAATATAGCAACTTTCTATAATACCAACCTCAGGGAAAAATACCAAAACAGAATCTATGTATAACAAACCTTACCAATAAAAGGATGACAATATTTTTACATACTGATTGTTTCCGTTGAAATATTCAATCCTCAATTAAAACCAAAGCGCCAAGCCAAACTGTGAAGGTTATAATTTTAATCTAAAATCACAAAACGTTAATGCACCAAATAACAAAGGTTGAAAAAGAACCCAAACTAACTAGAATTCCCCAAAAAATTGACGCTAAAGTAGAACAGGCTCCAATCTGGCAATTTATTCATGAATTTATAATTGCGAATAATTTGACGATTTTTATGCTTACACATTTCTTCAAGGTTGAAAAATTGTTCAATTTATTGGATTGTGTAAAACGGCTGTGTTGGGTTTTGTTATTCAATTTTGACTTTTGTTTTTCCAATTTTTCAACAAAAGAAATGTCTTTCCGTACTTGAAACTGCAATTACGATGACTCACCCTATCTCTCCACATCTGTAACCACATGCGCATGACGAGAATTCCGAATTGACTGAACCAGCCGGAGTCATAGTCGAAATTACACGCCTCCAGCTCGAAAGCATTATCTTCTTTTACTTGACATATGGTGCTATTGTCCAGTGTGACTTCGTGAAGTTTCTCTTCTTTGGCTTTGGTGCCATATTTACATCTACCGTTGTCTATCACAGATACCATGCGATCGTGGAAATCGCCATATTCCTGGCAACATACTTCGATAACTGCAAAAGAAAACACTTGTTAGATGAAGGAAATTCACAGTAAAACACACACATATTTTCCCAGATAAAGAATCAGGCTTTCCAAAATTATTACATTTGAGCTATTTCTATTTTATAATTTGCATATTATTGGTTTCTGTCTCCCTCAGAGTACTATTCTTCCCAATTTATTCACTTTTGCCTGTGGTGTTTCTGTTTTGCAAAACAATCCCGATAAGCTTTTTTCGGAATGTTCTTTCATATCTGTGACGAATTTGTTTTAATATCATTGACGGTGTCGAAACGACGTCCTCTCAACACTGATTTCAAAGAAAAAAATTGCAAGGTGCTAGATTTGGTGAGTGAAGAGGTTGAGGGAGAACAGTTATTTGAGTTTTGGAACAAATGTTGCGAGAAGGCTGCCTGAGTTGTCGCGTTATCATGATGAAGCAACGATAACGAGGCACGCCACAACTCGGGTCTCTTTTGGAGAAATTTTCACGTAATCGTTTCAAAACAGCTTCGTAGTGGTGGCAGTTCACTGTTTGACCTAGAGGCGACAATTCAAAATGCACAACTCCATCAAAATCGAAAAAAAATCCGCGACATTGGATCGAGACAGTCGTGCTTTTTTTAGTCATGTGGACGCTGAGAGGGAAGGAAGGCGTCGAACGTCAGTAACAGATGAAATTATTACTGCTGTGAGGAGAATGCTTGACGAAAACCGGAGAGTGACATACCAACAGATAGAGGAGACCTTATACCTTCATGCACTAGCAATTCATTCAATTTTGCATGACCATTTACAGGTTAGGAAACTTTGTTCTCTCTGGGTACCGCATAGTCTGACGGAAGAGCAGAAATGTTTGATAAGGGGCAATCTCGGTATGTGAACGCCTCGTGACAGGTGACGAGACTTGGCTGTATTATTATGATGTTCCGACCAAAACAAAGTTTGGGTCTTTGATGATGTCAAAAAATCTCGATCTGTTAAGAAAAACATGATAGCTGTATTTTTCAAATCGAGCGGGATTGTGGAGCGTGTCGTTTTGGACTCACAGAAGACAGTCACAGCTCAGTGGTACACGGAACAGTGCCTGCCTAAAATCTAAAGAATACTTCAATCATGATTTTTAAATGTGATTTGACTATCATAGTTTGTTCCTACTGTGTAATGTTATCTTATTTATTTTATACACTGAATTGTATGTCTATTTTATGACTATATTCCTACCTGTAGTCCAATCGAAATAAACATTATTATTATATTATGAGCCTCTTAATCAAAGTGGGCTGGTTGAAGGGGTTCCCGACAAGATTATCTACTCGATTGTAATAGTATTGTAATAGTGGAAAATGAGGTATGTTTTTTGGACATGTCTGTTAACTCGAAAAAAGTGCTGCTCGGATTTGGACGAAATGTTCACACAAGGTCACTACTGATCCAAAGGCGAAACAGTTTTTTTTTAAATCGATCCAGCGGCAGTGGAGCTACGGAGCAAAAAAAGGAAAAATCGCCCAGACATCGTTTTTTGACGTTTCAGAAAATTCTGATCATTATGAAAACATTTTTTGGAGGGGGCTTAGAGATTGGGGTTGAAGGAGGGGGAGGAGGGTGTATCTCAATTTTTTGATGTTAGTATTTTATACGCTTGTAACCTCGGTCATTATACATATTAAAAAACGCCAGTCTTTACGACACTTCGCCTTTTTGTACTTTCGTACGAAATAGTTCTTTTTTATTATTATTGTTATTATATTTCACACATAGATATCCCCGTACATTTGTCCTTAAAACTTAGATGGATAGATGATCTTTCGATACCCGTTTTCTGATCTTAGTATATTAATACACCTCCAACCCCAGTAATTCTAGGCAACTATTAGATATATTTCACACATCATAGATTCCTCCGTAAATTTGCCCTTAAAACTTGGAGAAAATTAAGATCTGAAGCCCCCTGCACTGAAAAAAAAATAACGCAGGACAGAAGTGAGATATCAAATATCCGAAATGTTTGCTCCATGTTTTTAGGGCACATAAAATGGTAATTATAAATGTATTATATTTTTGAACGATTTTTATGATGAAATTGAATATTTTATAACAACATAAGAGTTCTATTATCCTTTGGAAAAAAATTAACATTTCCTTCTAGGAAATCAGAGACCATAAATTAAAAAGTTATATACACGGCTGACATTCTTTTGTCACGTGGCATATGTGAGTGACATCTATACTTGTTTCACTAAAATTTAGATATGAGTTCAAAGACTTGTCACACCATGGTTGCTACCCAAGATCGAGACTTAATAATTTGAATTTAATAGTATTCATCAACATATATTATAACTGGTTTAAAATGAACTTTTAAAATAATAATTAGTGTAGCATGCGTTTGACACACTTTAGTAGTTGTGACTATTCAATTCATGTGACTCAGTACAAGTAATTAATAATTTTTAGAGTGTGGCAGACGGAAAAATTTATTGGTTAAAAAACGTAATTTATCTTAACAGATGATATATGTATTGTATCCTGTGTTGGAGAAAGGAGCAGCCAAGGTTAAAGCACGTTGGCCCCGTTGATGCCCCTGTAATGTTCTCTTGAATTTTCCGCAGGGATAAATCATCAGCCACCCAAATGATTGAATTCGGTATTAGACACAGCGGAGTTTCCCTTACGCTAGACATAGAAGGCTAAAGTAGGACCGCTGCGAAATCACACGACAGGTGATTAAGTGTCACATTCTCGTGGTGTTCACAACATGAGGTTGTGTCACTTTTGTTAGGAAAACGTGATGTTCAACTATTTCAATAGCTGATACGTTCCCGCCTATTTCTGGATCACATTAAATACTATATCTCAAATAATAAGGTGAAAATAATATTGTAGAATAAATATACAGAGTGTTTCACAACTTATCCGACAAATTTTTAACTACATATGTACTGTTACGAAATAAGTTGATTTCTTAAAAAAAGGTAATAAAAGACCTACAGAAATCGAGATAATAAAATAATACAGTTTAACACTTCACTTACAAAAACTGTTAAAAATTGTTTCCACTGACTGCAATCCAAGCTTGGGCGCCTATAATCCAATTTCGGCACACTAATTCAAATACACCTCTTTCCTGCGGTGCCTTCAGGCTTAAATTATCGGCAACCACTGTGATTCGGTCACGCAATTCCTCAATATTCTGAACTGGAGTACGGTATACCTCGTTTTTCAAGTATCCCCATAAAAAGAACTCCAGAGGATTTAGATCGGGAGACCATGGAGGCCATGCAATTGGTCCACCCCTTCCGATTCAGCGTATCTGGTTTACCTGATTAAAAAAATCACGAATTTCTAAGCGAAAATGCGGAGGTGCCCCATCGTGCAGAAACCACATCCGTGCTCGGACCGCCAATGGCACATCTTCAAGAAGGACTGGCAAATCATTCCGAAGAAATTCCAAATACTGTTGAGCATTCATCCGATCTGGTAATATAAACGGTCCAATTAGACGTTCATCGACAATACCTGCCCACACGTTTAAAGAAAAAGATGTTGGAAGTGCGTCTGGACTACTGCGTGAGGATTTTCAAAGGACCAAACGTATGTATTATGAAGATTGGTTACTCCATTACGAGTAAAAATAGCTTCATCGGTGGCCCAAATATCAGCTGCAAAAAGGGGATTTCGAGCATTTGGTTGTACCAACCACTCACAAAATTTTACACTTAGGGGGTAGTCTGTAGATAGCAACGCCTGGACCCTCTGGACATGATAAGGGTACAGTTGGGCCTCATGTAATATGCGCCACGCTGTTGCGTGTGGTACTTCTGGGACCTGTTGGGCTAACTGCCTTCTGCTTATTCTCGGATTTTCTTCCACAATATCCAAAATTTCGTCTTCGGCAGTTAAAACGTGTTGTGGGCGAACCCGACCCCCATCCACTCTACGTCTGGAGCGCTAATCTCCACTAGCACGTGCACGTAAAACAATTGAAGTAAATGTTTCGTGATGTGGTATGTGCATATTCGGAAATCGGTGTGCATACACACGAGAAGCCGCTCGCGAATTTTGTCCTGCTTCTTCGTACGCTAAAACAATGTCCACTAACTCCTCATTAGTGTACACATGCGCCATTTTTATTAATAAATAACTAGAAACATAAACTCGCAAAATACTTTCTTATTTAACTTCACAAAAATCGACTGTTCTTCATTCAGATCACCCACGATACAGATTAAACCTTATTTATACGTTCTTATCAGTACGAAAAAAACAAAAAATTCCCGGTATTTTGTTTTCGTCAGTTGTTTGGTACAACATTTGCTACAATAAATTATTAATGCGCGTTCTAATATCACGACGATGAACGCAAAATACAGATATTTATTTTTCAATTTATCATTGAAACTCAGGTACCTCACTTACTTTCTGTAGGACTTTTATTACATTTTTTTGAGAAATCAATTTCTTTCGTAACAGTGCATATGTGGTTAAAATTTGTCGGATAAACCCCGTATATAAAATTAAAAACTATTTAGAATTATATATTTTCACAAAACTATACTCCATCAAGAGAACTGAACCACTTAACGGTCTATGGTTATAATAGGTGAAAATGCTACTTCATTATCTTAGCTGTTCATTTTATTTATTGTTTCATAATATCGGAAGCAATCAATGTTCAAATCAATGAACATTACCGAAATTACACTAATTCTCTCATAATATTTACAGCATTACAGATATACTTTCACATGACCATAATTCATTAATAGAACTTCACGCTATACAGGGTGTTTTCTATGGAAATTCAATAATTAAGTGGACGATTTTTGGAACCATTTTAAGAAAAAAAAACTTCACATGAAAGTATGTCCTAAACGTCTTAACTTTTGAGATACAGTTTTCAATAGAGATAGTCAGTCGCACGTCACTGACTTTCATTAAAAAAAAGGAAATAAGAACAGATTTGATTTATCGAATTTTTTTAGTCCGACTTACGGTTTACATCCAAAAAAATAAAAGCTATTTCTATGCTTGGTGTCATATCGTTATGATCCTGCGGAGAAATAGTTTTCATTTTTCTAACCGTTCATCGTATTGAAAAATGATTGGGGATTTCAAGATTAATTTTTTATTTTAAGAGAAATTAGTGGCACACCAACGATTGCCAAAATAGGCAGGTGAAATTCCGTACGAATGTAGTACATTAAAAATGCCTCTTGGTACATAGTACATAAATGCTAAATTTCATTAAAATATCAAAAGTGGTATTCACAGATAATAATAAATGATTTATTTTTGAAAACTTTATCACCTTGTATCTCAAAAGTTACGACGTTTGAGACAAACGTTCATATGAAGTTTTCTTTATAACATGGACCCTACTAAGGAAATAATACCCTGTATAGTTATAATGGGTGAAAATACTACTTAATTACTACAGCTGTCATCATGCTTATTTTGTTCCTACTTTCGGAAATAATCAATTGCCAAATCAATAAACACCTGAGTAGACTACTATCTATTATAGAAATTATATTATTATTCTCGTAGCATTTACAGGGTTACAGTGTAGGAATGCCATTTTGATGGATATAATTATATTTATCTATACAATTATCAAATAGTCCCGAAATATTACACTAGTCTTACTGCGTTTTTATTAATAAGTAGGTATAAAATATTGTGAAGCGTTCATAAAAAACCTCTTTTATGGAAACCTATACTCCATCCAAATTCAAGAGACTGTCTATCAAGGGGGAAGAGTAAAATGGTAAAGACAGTCCTGCATACTCGGAAGATGAAAAACTGAACAGGATCGTATTCAAAACTGTGTTGCGATGATAACAAAATTTTGTCGATTGCAGATGATACAGGGTGGCCCATAAGTCCTTTGAGCTGGAAAAAAAGGAATAAAACCAAACTAGTTACATTATGAAGAATTATTATATTTTGTTATCATCTTTGTTGAATGGGAATTATGTTTTAAAAATCACATCGTCTAAATGCAATCCATTACGATCACGGCACTCATATAAACGACGTCTAAAATTGTCGATGACTGCGCGGCAAGTCAACACTGTAATGCTTGCCATTTCTCTTCGGATATTTTCTTTCAGGACATCAACTGATCGCGGAGTGGTGTCGTACACTTTACTCTTGAGGTAGCCCCATAAAAAAAAGTCCATTGGGGTCAAATCTGGACTACGTGGTGGCCAGGAAATGTCTCCTCTTCGAGAAATTACTTTGCTGGGAAAAAGTTGACAGACGACGGGCATAGAAGTGTTGGAGGTGTGGGCAGTTGCTCCGTCCTGTTGAAACCAGGTCTGCGTATTATAGCCTGGAAAATTCTGCAACGCTGGTGTCAAAAACTCTTCTATCATTGCTACATACCGCTCCGAAGTAACAGTTAATGCGCGACATCTGTCGTCCTCAAAAAAATAAGGGCCTACGATGCCATGCGCTGACACAGCAGCCCAAACTGTAACTTTAGGGCTGTGTAAGGGCTTCTGATGCTTACGCCTTGGATTTTCGGGGCTCCAATAACGGCAATTTTGTTTATTTACATGCCCGTTTAAATGGAAGTGAGCCTCGTCCGAGAACAACACATTATTGAGCGAAGAAAATCGATTCAACATTTCATTCGCAAAGTTTAGTCTCTGAATAGCGTCATTAGGTACCTTTACATTTACACTCTTTCCTGCGGGATTGGAACGCCCCGTTCCAATCACGCGAATTCTCGCGCGTCCAAGCGTGGCGCGTCCTAATACGAACTGTCTTAAAAATTACAACTGCTTATCGCACGGTTTGAGTGTGTGTCGTGGAACGGTATAGGATAAAAGTGCAAATGTAAATCAAAAACTGTCATCTTTCGCGAGTGATATTCGTGGCATGTGGAGTCTTGAAATTTTCAACAGTTTTCAAGGCGGTTTTTATCTTCATAATGGATAAAATAATTAAGAAACGGAAAATAAGAGCAGCTTTGTGCTTGGCTGTGTATCTAAATATTCCAAATAAGAGACAAAGAAAGTGTTGGGTGAAAACATGGTTGGAAAATCGCAACAGATATGGACATTTGCCTCTGCTTCATGAGTTGCGTGATAATTATCCCATGGATTTTAGAAACTATTTGAGAATGGATTCTGAATCATTTAGAATTTTGTTGGCTTTGGTTTCTCCAATGATTTCTAAACAAGACACAAGATTGCGGGAGAGCATAAGTGCCGAAGAAAGACTAACAACTACTTTGAGATACTTAGCTACAGGTCGTTCGCTTGAAGATTTGAAATTTTCAAGTGGAATATCTGCACCATCTTTATGTAAAATTATACCTGAGACATGTAAAGCTATATATGAAGTATTAAGGAAAACATATTTAAAGGTAAGATTACTTGTTTTATTGAAATAAACTTCTTGTGATAACAAAACTTGAATATAAACTAAAAAATTAATTACTAAAATCCTGACTAGCTTGCTCATAGTAAGCTGTTATACTTGCTGAATCTAAAGCATGTAATTGAGATGTTCTTTCTGGACGATGTAATGAAGAATTTGATGAAGCAACACTATATGGGCTAGGCGGTGAGAAAAGTGGAAGTGGAACTGGTGATTGTTGCATAATTATCGTTGTCTCGGTTAATTGGTTTAATAATCCTTTATTTACAACTTGATTGATAAGCATATCTGCATAAATAGCCTGAGTTGGATTCATCTTTTTAATTTTTTTCACCCACGAAATTGCGGCTGCATCAAATTCATCAATTTCATTTTTGCTTTCAAGCTGATTCTTGCAGTAATTCATGAAGTCTGTTTGGGTCTTATTTTGTTTAGAAGTCTTACTTCTTTTATTTGAGGCAGGCTTGAAGGCAGTTGGACTTGTTGGACGTGCATGAGATGTTGAAGGCACTTGTGATGAAACACTTGCAGATTTCTAAAAAAAAAATATTATTTTAGTTTCCATCTACGCAGCAGGATTGGCTGGAAGTAGCAAATGGATTTGAACAAAAATGGCAATTTATAAACTGTGGAGGAGCTCTGGATGGCAAGCATATTCGTATTGTACCTCCTCCTCATTCAGGAGCACAATACTATAACTATAAAAATTTTTATAGTATCATTTTAATGGCTCTCGTCAATGCTGACTACGAATTTATTTTTGTCGATGTAGGCAAAAATTGAAGATTATCTGATGGAGGAGTAATTGAAAGCACCAAATTTTATCATACGTTAGTTAATTCATGCTAAGTTGTTATACCTGTATATATGTATATGTAATTATGAATAATATATTTTTGTGGTTTTAGGCCAGTTACATCTGCCAAATAACACAGACACAGAAAATAATTTCAATTTTGTATTTTTGGGCGATGAAGCATTTTCTTTACATGAAAACTTTTTAAAACCGTATCCTCAAAGAGATCTTTCTTATAGTAAAAGAATTTTTAACTATAGACTATCACGAGCGAGAAATGTTTCGGAAAATGCATTTGGCCTGATAGCGGCAAGGTTTAGAATTCTGCATACACCAATACATATGAAGAACCCGGAAAACATCTGTTACGTTGTACTTGCTATTTGTTCTCTTCACAATTTTCTTAGGAAGCGTGATACTTCTTATACAACATCAACATCATTTGATCAAGAAAATCTGATAACTAAAGAGTTACAGGTGGGTGATTGGAGAAAAAATGCCGTTAATATGACAAAATTAGAAAGTCGTAACAAAAAAGTAGCTACCATAGCTGCGAAAACTAATCGAGATAATTATACAAGTTATTTCAATTCAGATGGAAAAGTTGATTGGCACGATGAAATGTTGGCCAAAGGAAAAGCTTAATGTATATTTTTGTTTTTAATAAATAAGTACCTAAAAAACTTACTTGTGTATTATTTACTTCTGTTTTCTCTTGAAATTCAACTTCTTCTTCAGTAGAGTGGTTGGAATTTTCTGTTCCTTCATCTTCCATGTTACAAATGCTTTGCGTGGGTATTTCCTGATCAATAGTAAACTGGAGTAAGTCGAAATAACCATAATGTGGGAGTATAAATTTCATCTGTACTAGCTCCACTTCGCTTGGATTCCTCTATCTTTTTTAATTCCTTCCGAAAAGAACCACGAAAACTTTGTATTTTCTTCACAACGTAATCTCGATTTGCTTCTGGATGTAATTTTGTACAAAACTCGACTAATTTGTCGTAAGCAGCATTTTTCAAATTTCTGTTTGTATATTCTCGGGATTTGATTTTCCATAAGCATGGATAAGATTTATATATTTCAATAAACTCTGAAACAACTTCTTTCGACCAATATCGTGTATCTGCCATATTATCTACCTAACAATTAAAATAATTGAAACTTTGCATATGTATATACAATAAAATACTTACCCACGCTAGAACACAATTTACGCACAATTGCCCGCGCGAAAGTAAAATGTAATCAAACGTCTTACCTGCACGAAAATCACTAGCGACGAAAATGCGAGTTTGAACACGTCTAAAAACCGAGCGATTATTTCTCATTTACACTGGCATGCTTTCGCACACGATTGGAACGGGGCGTTCCAGTCCCGCAGGAAAGAGTGTAAATGTAAAGGTACCTATTATCTTTTAATTCCTGCACTAACTGAATTTTGTAAGCGTGCAGACGTAAATCTTTCCTTAAAATCAGCTGTAAAGATGTTCTGGGTACGTTTAGTGCACTGGAACGCTTACGAGTAGACTGGGTAGGATTTTGACGAACAGACTGTGCCACAATGTTGATGTTTTCTTCAATACGAGTTGTCCTTGGTCGACCCCACCGCTGTTTATCTAACGTCGAACCAGTCTCTTCGAACTTAGCAACCCAGTTCTTAATCGTTTGAGCTGTTGGACACTTTGTAAAATTGTGTAAATTGTGGTATTCTCGATATTTACGCCGCGCAATGGTTGCCGAATCATTATTTTGATAAAACGCGCGCACACAAAAAGCACGATCCGCTCCAGTGAAACACTCCATGGCGACTGAATTCCCAGACACTGAAGATACTGCCCCCACCTCGCCCGCGCCGCTCACGCTCACCGGTTAAATTTTATTCAAATTTGAAATTTCAAAGGACTTATGGACCACCCTGTATTACTGAGTAAAACACTGAAGATGCTGGAGGTATCCCAATGAAAACAAAGGTCTTTTATTCTAGCGAGAACCGAACGGTTATTGAAAAACAAGATGCTGCAAATATATACATATTTAAAAAACATTGTCAGAGGACAAAATCGTCATAAGAACAGTCGAATGAATCACGTCTTGAACATTGGAACAATGATGTATAGTATCGTCTAGATGTTTTTCAAGATGGAACAGTTACATACTGAAGCAATCCCTCAAAATGCTGAAAATTGGTTCAGTTTCATCCAGATTATAAATGGCAGAGTGTGATGATCCTGAGATCATTTTTTATGTTATATATATTTGTGACGTCAGATTTGCCAGCAACAAAAACACAATAATAACTTGTACTAACCTTGTGATACAAGCTTTTTATCATTACATGTGCGTCAGTGCAGTAAAATAATCGTAAGTGCAGCCCATTTGGTAACCATTATACAATCATTTGTCTCTTTATAATCATAGTGTTGTAACTGCGTCATGATATGTGTCTACAATATGTACTCAAGGGACAATAAAAGAGAAATTACAATATATTAATTTCACCGGTTTTTTGCACAGAGGAAGACATACATACAGATCTTTCCTTCATGATCAGTCCGATCCACAGCTTTGCTGATGGCAGCACTCTGCATGTGGAAATTCAAAGTGACAAGCCGATCTTTGCAATCGCAATATATTTTTATATCACCTCCAATGTTGTTTAAAGCCTACGATTTTTGTTTTGATTGGTTAATTTTCCGTGTTTCAGTCACGATAAGCTCTTTTACATATTCTTGGCTCTAAAGTTTCAAGGTCGCTTTATGTGAAGAAATGCATAGGTAACTATTACTAGAAGTATTTTAGCAAACATAGTATTTACAAATACCAAATGAAAGGTATCTAAATATAAGATACAATTACAATTTTAAAAAGGCATCTTAAATAAAAGATGGAAATAGGCATTATGGGTCCCTACTTCAGATACTTGTATCTTAAATAAGTCACATCTCTGGTAGTTTCAACTGTTTCAAGTAGTCGGTAGATGAAAGCAATCATGATAATTACACGCCTAATAACATGTTTCGTCTCAGTCTCCTTGATGATAAAAATTCATGGTTCAATCATAAAGTAATAGGAAAATTGATGATTAGTTTCAGCGTGTACGCATTAAAGTTCAGGAAACGTCGTTGTGGTAACAAGATTAGAATATAATTCCCAGAAGAATAATTAGATATTAAAGATTTTTAGCCATCGTAACTACGTAACCATGAATGATGACATTCAAGTTATAAGATGTCGAGATCACAGATATCGTTAACGTTTACATATCTGGTAAACTGTATTTGTTGTCAACATTTGGAATGAGACCGATAATCTACCAACTATTTGAGTAGATATATAACCACTTTTTGACAGTCTATGAATATTATTTCTAACACTAATACGAGATCGCATACTTCAAATCTTTAAACTGAATATCAGATGTCTCATAATAAGTGGCCAAGATACCGAATCCATACAGAACACAATAAGTTGCAAGTACTACTATACGTATATATAGGATAGGAACGAGAGAGATGATAATAATAGAATATAACGATAAACGTGAAAGCCACAAACCCATCTTAGAAGGTGTCGAAGTACCACCCTGTACCATTTCATTTGTCGCTACAAAGGCAGTAAGTAAACAATTCGATATGAGTAACAATGTCAGGATAATATTAAAGACACTTACTTGGTGACGAAACGACGAGTTATCCTACTACTACTTTTAGAAAAAAACATGAGTATTTCCCGTATTTAACTGACTCATGACATCACATGCACAATTCTACTAGTTACCATTATATTAGTGTACCCCAACTACTAGTAAGGATTCATCACACAGGCTGAATCATGGGATCGTCCCACAGATTGATCCTGATCGTCATACAGACAGAGTAGGAGTTGTCACACAGACTGACTCTTTGGTCATTAAAGTAATAATCCCTTCACACATCCTGCCATGAGATACATTTAGACTCCAGCGATTGCCAAGAGAAGATAGTTAAGTGGTCATTCAGGCCTAGGATGTGAAATAGTTCCCGAGCTAGCTCTCTCAGGTTAATGGGACGAAGACGGTGTTACAACGTTATCACTTTATTTTCTCAAATAGAGGCCGATTTACAAGTCACACTATATAATTCGAAATGAAAATAGCAGTTACAATGTTCGTACGTCCGTCGGGTCGAGCGACGATATCCGTCCTCCTTCTGCCGATGCTCATGCCCGTCTCCCCCTCAACCCGTCCTCAGGGTCTTACTACCTGCCCTCCGTCGCACTTTGCACTCGACACGCACTCACACACGGTCGCGCTGTTGCCGAACCTCTTCAGATGTCACGTCGGCCAAAGCCCACCGTGTCAACATCCCAAGCACTCCGAAGTTTCCGTTGACAGAGGAAACCGAGCAGTAATTAACATAACTACCTCAACCCAGCAATCGGGCTCCGAAAGTCTCATAACAACCCCCAGAACTTGGAGGCGTCCCAACTGCGAATATTCAATAACAAGTCGTAAGCCATAGATTAAATTATGAACGTAAAAAGTACAGCATCTTTATAAACATGGCTTAAGACATTCATGATCAGGAATATAAAAGTATTATGTTTCTAAATCCATGCAGTACAGTTAGGGATGGCAACGATACATCGATGTATCGAAAACATCGATACATTGGACGTAGAACGTCGATGATTAGGCATCGATGGTTTTATGAGGATATATCGATGTATCGACATGGAAAGGATCATACATATCGCTATTCCCCGAGTATATCCTTAACTGTGCTACCATCTTTAAGCGAGGACTGGTAGCTTCTAAATTGAAAGCCCAGAAAGCTGTTTAGTAGTATCTCAATATTATCATTACAGACGTGAGATGGACTAAGTCTTTTCTTTATTCTGTACTTGATATAATAAAATAAACTGAAAACAGCGCATTTACGCATTTAATGATTTCAGGTTCTTTTGATTATTTTATTGTATGTAGTTGTACTGTCGCTGTTTTATTGTTAATTAATCGAAGTGCCACGAAAAAGTGATGTGTCGAACTACTTTAAAAAACACTCTTCAACTTGTGCACAGTGTAAAGTATTTAATGATCATTAATGTGTTCTTAATTTTGACAATCTCTTATCTTGCAGTTTCCTATAATCATACTTTTTTACTGAAGTATATTGCAGTCGGTATCCTTCTTTCATCCTATCGTCAAGTTGCTGTCGCGTTTTTTATTTTTACTTAATGATTCTGAAATCGAGAAAAAAAAAACGCGGTGGGAATTCCACCAATGGATAAAATGACCATTCCACTAAAACCGACAGCAATCGATGAATTCGTTGCTGAATTGAAAGCAGAAAACGTTAAAAAGAAGAGTTGTTTTGATACATCGATGTATCGATGTATTTGTTCCGATGTATCGAGCTCCATCGATGTTACGATGGCGATGTTTGTCGATGTCCAAACATCGATGTTTTCTAACAAATTACCATCCCTAAGTACAGCAGAATAAAGGAAACACTCAGTGATTGCTCAGCTTCCAGGTAACCAAGACACTACAACCAATAGCACAGCAACACTGCAATTAGGTTTACAATGCGCACTACTTGTTCTGAGAAGCGATGTCTTCCACGCACTATTTGAACTGTGATGCGAGCCTCGCCTGCGTTTGTAAGAAAGTTTATCCAGAGAAAAAACACCCAGAGAAGGAATGGAATGTATAACATAAACAGGCTTAAGGGCCGTCGTGCTGAGTGACACTAACCAGACTTGTGAACCTTCTGGAAATATTTTGGGTGCTACAGGGTTAAACTCGCATGCAAAAATGTGTTTGAGATATTTCGTAAGCAATTGTAGTGACGACTGACGGCCCCTAGTTATATCAAAAAACAGAATTTCCTAAGTAGGCCGTCAAATCATCACATAGACTAGGGCTCCAGAAGCTGGACGCGTACCACTTGCGGATATATAGTAATTCATTGCTCATCTTTCAGGTAACCAAAACACTACACCCAATAGAACATGAATGAATGAATCTTGAATTTTTAGAGGCATCCCGGCCACCATAAGGAGCCAGTGCATAGGCCGCTTAAGCGGGCCCTTATGCACCTCTACAATACTTAAATCACAAGCCTCGCCCTTTTAGCGAAGTTGAGAATCGCCTTGAGTCCAAGCTCCTTTACGTCCTGAGGGTCCAAAGTAATGGACCCCAGTATAGTCTGCCTATAGTAGCTCAGAGCTTCACAGCGACACAAAACGTGCGCCGAGGTCTCTTCCTCTACTCCGCAGCGTTCGCACAAGGGATCCTCAGCCACCCCCATCACGTGCAGGTGCCGCCTTAACGTGTTATGGCCAGACAACAGTCCCACCAGCAACCTTAGGTTGGCTCTACCCAGAGATAGGCAGAAGCGTCCATCCTTAGCACTGGGCCCTTCAATGAGCTCTCGTGCCTGGCGGAGATGTCTAGAGATACTTCTCCATTTCTGAGAGTGTTGTCTTGCAACCCACGTCTCCATTTTCCTCCTAGCTTTATGCGCGGTTACTCCTAGAGCTGGCT